ACACTATCTTTTATCAGTGCATCACAGTCCAGATATTTTAGTTTACTTGTTGGCAGGGAAGGAGTAATTTGTCCTTCAATTTTTTCTTTTGTCTTTTCTCCTTCATTTCTAGTTGCCAAAGGACATATTTTTCTTCTTTTTTTGCCTTTGATCTCCCCCAGAAGAAGCTTTGTATATGGAAGACTGCTTTTGTAAAGTATACATATTTTAAATCTTCTTCCGGTAGCTTGTATCTATTTGGACTTTTAAAAAGTATTCTCAGACTTAGGGTAGATTTAATGTTTTCTAGAGGTTGTTTTCGGTCAACCTTAAGTCCCACTGCTAGTTCCCCTCTTCTGTATAGTTTTATTGAATCTGCCCTCCCTTACCTTGTAACAAGAGGAGACACACTGATACTCGTTTTTCTTTTTTACTTAACAATTAATTTGGTGTTTGGGCATTCTCTATCCTCAAATAATGCTGATGGGGTATTTTGTGCAGTTTTATTTCCCCTATCTTGTCCTACACCAGTTTTGAAGGAAACACTGGGAGATGGGGACCTAGTATAGTACCATTGTCTTCAGCAACCTGGAAGTCTCAGTGTGTATTTTGATTTTTTTTAAAAAGATCTGTTCAACTGCCTCTAACAAGCAGCTTTCTGGCCATCAGCACTGTAAATCTAAAGGTTATTGAGCACATAAAAGTACTGCTTCTTACCAACAAACACCACATGGGCCACCTCTAATGGCTGGTATTGAGAGTGAAAATCCATGGTTGGATTTTCAGAGAGTAGGCTACCTATTCTTGCTCTGGCGAAGGCTCCTTGTTTTGATACTCAATTGTCATTCTCAGTTTCACCACAACCTAGATGAGAAAAAAATTCTCCAAGAATTCTACCTGGAGGCAAAGGAGTTACAATAAATGGGTTTTTGCTTAGTACATGAATATATCACACTGAGACACCCTTTTCTCTCCTTACCCCCAGAACCCCCCACCATAATTAATATCCTGCCACTTACAAATTCATTGGAGCCAAAAGTTCAATCATGTGGACAGAAGTTGATCCCAGGCAATTTCTCTTTCATGTTGCCCTTGGGATAACATTTTTTACTATGAACTTTTTACAATTGGCTCCCAGCCTTGCCCAAACAACTCTTTAGGCCCTTTACCACTCTAAAGCTGTGTTTTCTGTGTTGAATTAAAAAAAGGTTAAAATATTATGTGAAAATATGGATTTAGAAACATTTGTTTCAATCCCTTCCCTGTAGCCAGGTCCACAATAGCCTCATGTTCCAAACAAATGATCAGAAATTAATTTCCTAGAGGTTAAATATCTAGCAGGGCTGGTCTCTAATAGGAAACAAATATAGTCTCTGGCTATAAAATTTCAGAATATATTAGTAGGATGGAAGAGATACTATCATTTTTAGGGATCCTTTCTCTGAAATTACCTCTTTTACCACCTTTTCCAAGGGAGGACTCCCAGATGGGCTTTAATTAGATAGACCCCTTGAATTTTTAGCTCACATTGTTTTAAGCTAAATTGGCTACTCTAGTTTCTTGTGAGTTCCCCTTGGAAAACTTCTGATGTAGATTAATCAACAAGATATTAAGCATTCCCTCTTCCTACTTGTGGGACCTGTGGGGTTAACTTTGGAGTGGTTGCCAGATGTCACCAGACAGATGTCTCCCTTGGAAATTTAAAATATCCCATGGTCCCCTTAGGAGTTCACTGCAGTGCCCTAGGGAATTTCAGCACATAGTTTGGGAACCACAGATATATAGCTTTGCATACTTTTCTCCTAACTCCTTCTCTCTCTGTGTGTATACTGTACACTCAGATGTTTTTGTGATCATACTATATACAATTTTATAAACTGTTTAAAAATTCCTGATCATGAAACATAAATTTTTTCCATGTCATCAAATATTCTATGTCACAATTTTTGATATTCCATTCATATATAAATACATACACACATACACATACATCAGGATTCATTAAATTAAGCTCCTATTGTTAGATACCTATGGTATCTATAACTCTCTTTTGCTATTATAAACAGTGCCTTGATGAACACATTAATAAATAAATCTTTACATACACCTACTATTGCTTTGCAGTAAATTCCTAGATATAGAATTGCTGAATCAAAGGGTATAAATGAGTTTTGCCCTCAGAAAATGGTGTAATAATTTATACTTCTTCCAGTCTTTTTTAAATATTTTTTTAGTTGTAGTTGGACACAATACCTTTATTTATTTATATTTATGTGCTGAGGATTGAACCCAGGGCCTCGCACGTGCTAGGTGAGCGCTCTACCACTGAGCCATAACCCCAGCCCACTTCGTCCAGTTTTAATTGTGAGTAAATATTACAGGCTTTTAATTTGCTGGGAAGAATTTTAATGTAAATGGTTATAGATTAAGATATCCAGATATTTTAGACACTGTGCTGAGCACTTTCACACATATGATATAATCTTATTTATATAACATCATTAATTCTTAACAATCTTGTAAAGTTGACATTATCATCCCTGTTTTACAGATGAAGAAATATGGATTTTAAAAAGATAAAATATTTTTTTTTGCAGATTATACAACCAAAATGTATAGCTGGGATTTAAATCCAGTTAGACCTATGATCTTATCACTATGTCACAGATAGCTCAACTACTTGAATGTCAAATCATCATCATCATCATCATCATCATCATCATCTTAAGGCCTGAAATTTCTGGAATACATCAAGCACTGTTTACATGTTTTAACATATTCAATCTTTAGTGACAAACCTATGAAGTACTGTCTACTCTTATCCTTGAGACACTGAGATGATGAGCTTCTCCAGGATCATACAGCTAGGATGTGATAGAGCTGGTATTCAAATCCAGGCAATGTGGCTTCACAGATTATGCCAGTAATGACCAAAGTATGATAGCTGGTAGAGTTGTGGAAGACTACATCAGAATCTTACCCTGAAGAAAAATGGCTTAATTAAGTCTCATAGATGAGTGAATGAGAGTTACTATCTAAGAAAATGTCTATCCAGCAATTTTCTAAAAACTATGAATCTAGGAATTTGCCTGTGAATTTCCTGTTCTTATATATCTGAAACCTTTATTCACTCAGCAATATCCAGCTTTATAAGTGGAATGCATAGAACCATGCTCTAGCCGGGTCTAAGGGACATGACTTGAGTGGAAATTCTTCCAATGAACTTGGTGACCCAAACTCCATTGGAGAAATGAAACCAAATTTCCCCCAAGTTATTTAGAAATGCTAAATATTATCAATTGAGATGGGCAAATTTTCCAAAGTAGTGTCTTATTGATGACCCTGACTTCAATGTTTTTTGGGTAAATGAAGCACCCTCATTGCTACTCATTATTTTAAGGCTTTTCTATAGTCTTACTTTGGTATTTAGACATTATTAAAATTATGCAGATTATGAGAAAGGGTTATATTTTTATGTCGTTTCTGTAAACACTCAAAATTCTTCTCTCTTACCTCCCTGCACAAGAAAACCAACTTAATGAGCCACAAAACATTTTTTAATGAATGGGAAAAATATTTTTAGTATTTTTATGCCAAAAATGCCTCATTAAAAACAAATGCTTTGGCAAGCAGATTTGAGTTTAATAAGAACTTCTGCCGAGCAGGGCCTTTATAACAAATCACTAGCATGTGTAACTGCTCCATCAGAAGAACGAGAAAACCATAAGAGGCTCTCACCTCCCTTTCTCATCCTTGGGCTACATCACAGCAATGTAATGAGTGTGACATGTGTGCACTTAAGGAGCACTGAAGGACATAGAGCCTGCTGCCTAGCTGCAAATAGGAAAAAATGTCTATATATGTCCAATATCGCTCAAAGTCCTAATGGATATGTTATATCATGAAAATTCATTTAGGTGAAATCTGTTTTCATCTAGATGTTTGCTTATCTTGGTACATGAATATTCTGCACTATTTTGTGTATTGTACAAGCCATAAGGGTGCAGGGTTGAGAGCCCTATGTACAAATTTAATTTCAAATAAAAGCCTCAATTCGTACTGACACTGTGTAACTTCTTTAGACTTTGGGCCTCAAAGAATAAGAAAGCAGAGTGCAGACGTGAAGGCAGGCAGTATGGGCTGATTTGGTCACAGAAACCATTGTTCCTCACTTTAGTGACACCCATCTCAGAGGCATAAAGTACTCACTTGTCCCCATTGAGGCCCCAGAAAGCACATCTGGGGTGACATGTTTGCAAGTTGCTCATAGTGTTTGCAGGTATTTTGAGCCAGGATCAGCTTTATCATCTGTGACCTATGCTTGGGGTTACAGCCATATTCACCCCTCCTGGATAAGGGTGAAATCACCAACAGTGATGACCTTACCAAGGTAGAAAATTACCCTGGAGAATGATCCTCCTTTGTAGAATGAGAAAGCATGAAATGATGACACAATTTCTCTTCAGGTGGTGATTTTCCACATCACTTAAGTTCTTCTCCAGCTTTTCCCACTGAGTCAGCCATGTTATCACTTGACTAATAGTAACAGTAGTTGTGGTTGACATTTATGGAGGTCTTACTCTGTGTCAGTCAATCACTGTGCTAAGCTCTGTCACATGCATTATCTCATTTCATCCTCAAGCCCTGCAAACTCAATACTATTAATTCCTCCATATTACAGATGAGGGAACTGTGGGCAATGAAGGTAAATTACTTGCCCTAAATTCTTTAGCTTGTAAGCAGAACTGGGATTCAAAGTAAATTTGTTTTCTGGTTTTAAGTTTCTTAACTAGTATTCACTGCATTGTGCAACCAGTTAATTACAAAATATACCTATCCCTAATCTATTTCCCCATAGAGGCATTCCTTTCAGAAATGTAAGGGGGAAAATGTATTTGTTCCCAAGTGCCATGGTTTGCTCTCCCAGTCAGCTCAACTCCTTCACTGGGAGGAAACTGACTCCCAAGACACTCATGTTTCCCGGCCAGCAAGCACAGGGCTGCAGTGGCCATCAAGCTTACCGTTAGGAAGTGGCGGTCCTTCACCTCGCGCCTCCTCTGGCTGTGAGCTGGAGGGTAGGCTGGCAGTGGTGGAGCAGCGATGGAAAGAGGGACAGCAGCTCTCTGCTCTCGGCGATCACTTCGGCTCCGGTGTTCTAACAGGGCAGAAAAGCAGCAATACTGAAATACACTTAGCATTTTCAATTTCTCTTTTCCCCTAGGGAGTATTAGCAAAAGGCTGTTAAAAAGAGTCATCTTTTATGAAGCTATATTATTTATATGCCAAATCAGATTTTCAGAATGGTTCCTACCTAAACTTTCACTTATGATCAGCGTCAAGTTAGACACATCCATTTCAGTGGGTCCATCTCATAATCTTTGTAGAAAATAGCTTACTTCTGAGTGCAGTGTGCCTCATTTCAAAACAACATGAGTATAAAAAATGTTGAGGACAATGGTGAAAGATCTGCTGCCGTTAATGCTGGCGTGAAAGTAGAAACAAACATATCAAAGCTGCCCAGGCTGGGCCCTGGAGCCAGCTCCCACTGGCTCAGGGCAACTCACTGCTCTGGATTCAGGAATTTGTGTGAGTCATTTTTTCAACAGTTGGCACCTGGAAATAGACCATGGTGGGAGTATTTATATCACAGAAATTGGTAAGTTCTACACAACAGGCCTTTTATTTATCTTATCATATTTTTTTCCCAGAAAACTGGGTGACCAGCACATAATTGTAGCCATCTAAGCCCTGTCACCCACACATGAAACTTTGAAATTCTGGACTCCCAGAGAAAGTAAGGCAATCCCAATGGCAATGTTTGTCTGATTTTGGAACAAAGCTATCATTTGTTTTTTTATTTTATTTTATTTTTTATTCTAACTTGTTATATATGACAGCAGAATGTATTACAATTCATATTCAAAGCTATCTTTTGAAAAAGCTAAGTATCTATGTGTGGGATTAAGGGATCCTGACTGTATTCATTGTGATAAGGCCCTGTGTTTGATCCTCAGCAACACACACACACACACACACACACTAAGAACACAGTTTAGTAGTTGTCCAGTATCTTATGTGCACCATCTCAACAACCCCACCAAATGGGCACTAATGCTCTCCCTCTTTTATAGATACCCAAACAGATTCAGGGAAGGTAAGTCATTGTGGAGCTATGAGTGGTACAGCCTTAGCTCAGTGTTTTGCTCTTGACTACTACTTAACCTGCAGGTACTGTAAGGTCCCACTGCACCTCACTCATTGGAGCAAGACGATTTAATTATAATTACATTTTACCACATTCCAATTCTTTGAATAATGATACCATAAAATAGAGTATTTGGTAACATATAAGATACTACCAAGTTTTCTTTCTTTTCTTTAGCTACGAAACAGAGCTAAGATGAGCCTATCAGGTAATGTCAGCTGCCCTATCATACCCATTTCTATACTTGTGTTGATAAAAATACCATCTCTCCATCTTTTAGTCTCTTTCACTAGAAATTGGCCCCTGGAAGAGAGAGATAATGTTTCATTGAGCTTTTGAACACAGGGTCTACAGTGTTTGTTACAAAATAGATTTTCAGAGTGTGTTTGTTGAGTAGCTAAATTAACAAATTAATGCTTTTGTTAAAACCCAGTTTAAAAAAAAATTGCAGTGCATTCCATATTCTGTATTTATTCTATAATTATAATGGGCTTTGTTGGTGGTACTCTCATTGCTAGGTGCTTCTCTGAGTCCCATTGCTTGTTTTGATCCACTTCCCTAATGCCGGTCAGATTCTTCTGATTCTCCTTTGCTTTATTCAGTGTGCTTAGTGGAACTAAGCACTCTCCAGCTTTCTGATTTTACATCCATGTCTGATGTGGCTGTCTGTGGGCCTCATCACCTGAACTGCTGACTTGGTATCTGTGCTAGGAAAATGTGATCATATTCCTCATCTCCAGTTGCTTGGGATTCTTTCCAAAAATGTTGGCTCCCATTTGCAATCAGAGGAAAGTCCTCAAAACCACATAGGTGGTCTTTGTTAAATTGCCTTCAGAGTCAATGTTTATCAGGAAGACATTTTGAGATAAATGTCTTCCTTGTTAAAGCGCCCACCTCCAATGCCACCCTCATTTTTCTCTGCAAGCCAAAAAAGCTTTTCTAAATGGGCAGCACAAGGAATACCTTTTACATTTTAAAACTCATCAAGAAAAGTAAAATAGAGGTATTATTGGTTAGGAAGAGGCAGAAGGAGGAGAGAAGTTAGGAGAGAGATATCAGCTCAATTTCCCATTCAATTGCTCCTCTCCCACACTGTCTTAAATATATCTTTTTCTTTGCCCTAGGCTGGGTGTAGGCAGGCTAGATTAATGGCTCTTTAGTAACATTTTTTGCCAGTGGTGTGGTAGGGAGAATACCTGTCTACTCGAACCTGAAACTGCAGTATCTATACAAAAGAAGCTTGGTTCTTATTCCCTTAGACCAATGAAACTGATCCCAGCCAGAAACTTTAAAGGAAAGGAAACATAAAATATAATTATCTCCTTATAGCTACTTATTAATCTCTCTTCCTATTTTATGAACATAAAACATGACATCACTTGACGCTCTTACTGGCTCTGAGCATTAAAGAATGCTGAGAAAAGGGGGAAAATAATTGGAATAATTTGAAATCAATAGAGATGCTGCTTCCTCTGGGGAGACTTCCTTGAAGCTCCTTGGCATGATTAGGCAGGTACCTTTCCTCTCAGCTCCCATTTCACAGGTAAGTATTAAACTTACCTGGTTACATGTCTGTCTCCCTCAGTAGACCAAGAATTCCTTGTGGGCAGAGACAACACTTTATTGCTTTTTGAATCCTGAGCTCCAGCACAATGCCTGGCCTTCGACAGTTTGTTGAGGGGGTTTGCTATTACGCAGGGCTCGAAGGCAGCCAATTTCTAGGTTTTTAATCTTGGTCCCCCAGCTCCCTCATTATAGCCTCATTTCCAAAAGGAACACAGAGTTGCAGCCACGGCAGCCTCCCTAGTCTGTGCTTCATCATCCACTCCCTCCCGATGGAAGCCAGCCTATTCCAGCTGTCCAAATAGAGAACCTACAGGAAAGCTCACTGCAGCATTTGCTGAGCCAGGCCATGTGTGAGAGGTCAGTATTATTCATGACCACCAGATGGCAGAAGTGGATTATGCTGATAGAAACACTGCTAAGCTACTGTGTTTCTTGGACAAGGTTAAAAAAAAAAGTCACTTTCTAATTTTAATTCTACACTGCATGTTTTTAATTCTATGATGTCTATAATTCCTGTTTATGGCTCTCTGCAGTGCTATTAAAACTACTACACCCAAGATTTGCTATTGAGCCAACCACAAAACAAGCCAGTCTGTGGAGGGCAAGACTCAGCTCCATAGTCTTCCATACAAACCCCAGGAGGCCCCATATCCCTCTCTCACTACCCCCAGGAGGAAGTTCAGAGAAAATTGATATTGGCACTTGCTATTCTTCAGTTCTGCCATTAAGTCCAAACCTGACAAAGCAGTGAAATGTGATAGCTTAAGAGCAGCTCAGTGTTATCTGGTTGAATCCATAAAAATCTAATCAGGGAGGACTGATTAATAATAATAAAGGGATAAAAAGAATTATGTCTAAAGGGCTAATGTTACTCAAGCTCTCCAGTGATCAGATCTGAGAAAGTATTTAGTGAGAATGATCAGATTTCTCTGTAGTCATCTTGTGCCCTCAATGCTTAATCAGTTTTCTGCAGAATTTGATTCATTTCCACAAACATTCATTGAGGACTATAGGCTGGGTTCATGCCAAGTACTTTGAATAAAATTAATTGATAAGATATTATCCTTTCCCTTGAGTTGCTCATGGATTAATGGTGGAAGACAAGCCCACGGTGGTTATGTATGACCAAAGGTTATAAGTGGCACGATGAAAGGATATTACAGGAATGGCAGGAGTGGAAATGAACATTTCCAGGTGGCTTGCACTAAAAATTTGTTGAAGAATTTTTTAGCCAACTATTAGTTGAAGTGAATGGAAAGCATGCCAGAGATACTTCTAGAAGACACTGATCCTTTCTCTTCATTATAAGTGTCACAGTATCTGTCATTGAAAAAACAAAGGGATTGTTTGAAATAATTGCTTTAGGGATATTAGTAGGTTAGCTCTTTCATTAAAAGGAAAAATGACAATAGGGGACAAGGCAGAAGCCACACAAATGTGGAAGAAAATAACCTAACAATATTTATCATCATTTTATTTCTCTGTCTTGATAATGGTATTAACATATTTCATATGCATCATATACTTTCAAAAAATACTATTCCTTAAAATAGTGTAGGGAATTTGGACCAAAGACAATAGGTGTGTAGACACCATCTGTCTCCATAGCAAGACTCCAAAGACCAAAAAAGCTAGCATGCCAACTTCTTATGTCCCATTTAGGGGTTTCTGAAAGGATGATGCTCAATTTTAACTCCTTTATCCCAGTCAAAATTGTTTGAAGGAAATCAAAAGTAACTAGCAAAAGAAAAAGCTATATTTCCACTTTGACTGCTATGTACCTATGTCTAGCAATGTCAGGACTGTGAGAGATATGTAAATACATATTTCCATGAAACACAGTGTACAGCAAGGAGGAAAAGAGCTCTCACTGAGGGTCCAGAGGCTCAGGTCTGAGTCCTGACACTACCTAACCTGCTCTGCATGACCCTGAGCAAGTTTTCCCATTGCTCTAGGCCTCCACGTGCCCCGCCCCCTTGTAGAATGAGGGTGTTGGTTCAGCTCACTGGTTCTCAACAGAAACAGAAGAGCCCTTGAAGGGCTTGTTCTGATTGTTAGAATGATTGGGCAGGAGTCTCAAGCATGACAGCCATACTGTGATGTATACGATGGTCAATGAAAAAGGATCCCAGGTCCCACACAATATTCAAATGTCCTATCTGAATGTCTTATAGGGAAAAAAACCTAGAACTTATTTTTGAGTTGAACCTAACTCCCTTATAAATTATAATCCAAAGTATTTTTTCTCTCATATCTAATATATGCTGAATGTACTGGTTTTTATGGTTGTGTCCTCTTGTCCCCCAGGAGTCCTTCATTTCTCTATGCTTATTGTTTGGAATGGTTTCTGATTGTCTTTATTTAATCAAAACTTATTTTAAAAATATCTATTTATTTTTTTTAGTTATAGGTGGACACAATATCTTTATTTTATTTTATGTGGTACTGAGGATCAAACCCAGTGCCTCACGTATGCTAGGTGAGCACTCTACCTCTGAGCCACAACCCCAGCCCCAAAACTTATTTTTGATAGGTACAAACATCTAACTGCTTTCACTTTCTTTTAATGTAGTTGTGACTGGGCATTTGCATATTGAATCATGTTATTATAAATTCTTTTCTTTTTAATATCTCTATTATCATATTTAGACACTAATTCTAATCTTATTTATTTATTTAAATTATTTTATTTTTCATATTCTTATTGGTGCATTATACTTGTACATAATGGTAGATTTGTTGTTACATATTCATACATGCACACAATCTAACAATATAATTTGGCCAATATCATTCTGTAGTATTTCCCCTAATAATATTAATTTTAATATGGGTGTAGGTAGGTTATATTACCCATAGATTTCAATTAGAATAGAAAAGGGAACATTTTGAGGTACTCTAACAAAGGGAGATGTTGGGACCGATGGGACCAAGGACCTCCAGATCGGGCAACCTCTGAGTTCTCTCCCGGAAAAGCCCCAAGCCTGGATCAGTTACCTCTGCGCAGGGCTTGCAGGCTCTGCCGGGCATGGCGGTGCAGCTCCTCCACACATGGGGGCCGGGTGGCCGGGAGGAAGATGTTTCGCTGCTGGTGCCAGGGTGCGCGGTAGTACACGCTCAGCTTACTCTCAATGTCCAGGTTGGAGACGGCTGCAAAACAAAGGGGCGAACAGGTATTAAACATCAGTGGCTTTAAGTTGTGTGTTTCATGGACTCTGGGGTCAGAGGTGGACAGGGAATGGAATCTGGGTGGAGTGGAAGTCCATGGACATGAAGAACTAACTCAAAGCTGGAGAAAAGTTTGAAAAAGATAGGGACAACCTTTGTCCCTGAGCCAAGGGATAGGAGACCCCAGGACACCAACCGCCTGCCTATGACCAGTTAACTTCCTCTCCATCCCTTGACTCCTTGCCCTCTTACAGTGGTTTGTCAACCTTGACAAGCCCATGGCCAATCCACTTGGAGGTGCAGGTGAGGGTGGGAATCCTGTCATCCAAGAATGTCAGGCAAGCGTCAGATATGAATGTGAAGTTTGCTTTAGCTCCAGCCTTCTGACCATAGGGCAGAAGTTGTAGTTCTGTATGCTGCTCCTGCTGTTCACCTGAACTTTGGCCCATTCCCTGCCCTGCTCTCTGTCCCTTGTGATTCCCTGGCCCTGAGGATTCCTTACTTTCCCTCCATCTCCCATTTTCATTGCTTGCTAGCTTTTGAAGTATTGTCCACTTTTCCTTTCACCCAGGGTAAGCACAGTTTTGAGGAGACCAGTTTGGGGGGGGGGGGCAATGGGTATTGAGAAAAGGAAATTGCAGACAATATGGTACTTGAGGCTCATCTAAGCGATTAAGGAAGGAAGTTCTCCTCATGCCACCCCTGGGAAAAACAGTATTTAACTCCCTACTGCTTTTACATACATGGTACCTAGGATGGAACTCCCCAACAGCTGAAGATGAAACCTTATGGAAGTAGGTGTTAGGAACCAGGAGGATTCTGATGAGGAAGTGGCTTCCCAGAGGAACTCAGGAGCACTGGGCAGTCTTGCAGCCTCAGGAATGGCGAGAACAGCCCCAGTTGGCTTCACTCTCCAAACCCGCTGTCCAGGCCTAGGCTGTTGGCCTGGGCTCACCCCACTCCCCCCAGTCTCATCCTCTCTTTCTGCTTCTTTTCCACTTTATCCAGTGTATGATTTGGAAGAGCTCTTCCCCACTGTTTACCCCTGTGCCCCAAACAGCCTTTTGATTCCTCTCTGTACCTTTTCTTTTTGAAGTCTGGCCTACCATTTCACTTTGAGAAACCTTACATGGAACAAGATACTCTACAGAAAATAAAGAAAGGAAAATGGAAAAGAAGGGAGAACATATTCATAGAAGTGGAATAGAAGAAAGAAAATGGGGGAAATGCAACCTTTTGATGATTAATTGCCTCCTTCCCCACCAAGTACCTAAGTTAGTCCTGAAGACAGAAGCTTTACTTATCCACCCTTGGAGGAATGCTTGGCCCAGTTCATTGACTGAGATTGACTAAAAAAAGCAGCAGCAGGGGCTGGGGTAGTGGCTCAGTGGTAGAGCACTTGCCTAGCACATGTGAGGCACATGAAAATAAATAAATAAAATAAGGTATGTGTCCAACTACAACTAAAAAATATTAAAAAAAGATGAGCAGCAGTCAATTCTGGTCCATGGGGTGGGGGGAGTCATTACCAAACTAAACAGAAGTGACTATGAATTCACGTGCTGGTGACAGCCTGGAGAAGGAATAGAACATAAAGTTTGCCTTTGAAAAAAGGGACAAGAAATTCAGTGGGAAGTCCCCAAAGCAGAAGGGCTTCTGAGGATCCCCCCTACCCCCAGGCCTGTATTTTTAGGCAGGGCTGATTCCAGGTGACTGGAGGTAAACCAGAAGACTCTTATAGCCCTTCAGTAGCTCAGTGCCACTGGTCAGAAGTTCAGGGTATTGGGTTTGACAACTCCTCAGAAACCAGGTCAAATGTCCATGGTTCCTCAAATCTTTGTGTGGGAAGAGCTGAACTCCTGTTATCTGTCTCAGTGTTGGTCTAAAGAAAAGACTTAGCAGAAGTGTTTGTCAAAAATTCAGAATTCTAACTCCCTGAGCCAGAATTGCCAAGAGTCCTGATAATCTGTATGTTTGTAAAGTGCCCTGAGGTTATTTTTATTATCAGGCAAGTTTGAGAAACACAAAACATCTTTTGAAGATGCCTTGGGATCATCTGGGAGTGAAAGGAATTGGGTACCGTGGGAGAAGGGAAGAGATTGCCAACAATGGAAATATCCATCCACTCATGAACATCTCCCAACCAGCTATTAGTGCTAGGTTCCTTGATGCTGGGATACAGCACAGAACAAACACAGAGGAATCCCTGCCCCTTTGGGCATATTTCCTCTGGCTTTGTATGAAAATGGTTTAGATATGATTCTGTCTGGAAGCAGTAGGTTAGGAGAAATGCCTTCTGGCATACTCTTTCTTTTCCCTAGGGTTGGTCTAAGACCTCTAAACTCTAGAGGCTCTAAATACCAAAAAGATTATAGTTCTTGCTCTTCTTTCTGCAGTAGATGATCCCAAATTTCAGAATAAATTAGCATATCATAAAATAAGGGCAAAGAAATTCAGCAACCTTTTTCCTCTTTGCTAAATATTAAATATGAAAAAAGTATTAATTTTAGTGTCCCTCCTTTGCTGTTGCCCTAAACACACTCCTACTGTGCCTATTGGGCAAGCCAGGGCTGAGTTTCTTGGCTGCTGAACTCTGCCTGCTGCTCAGAATTGTGGATTTTTCAGATGCAAAGACTAGCAAGCACATGAGTTCCAGTACGGGTGGCTAAGTCACAGCCTCCAGGAAGAACCAATCCTCACAAGAACACCTTTCAGGGCTAGGGGGTCCCCAGCTCTCCTTGTCCCAAATCATTTTCTTTCTCCACCGAGAAACTATAATGGATTTCTGCCATGCATTAGCAGGTGCACAGTTCACTCATTAGTTGCCACAGTGGTGACTCTCTCTTAGGGAAGGAAAACTCTTTCATGACTTTGCTTTCAGTTATGTCCTTTTGTCACAGAGCATTAACTAGTATTACATGTCCACTGGAGGTAGACAGACAGGCACTAATGGAATTCTTTCAGGGAAAACTATACCATTTTCTCTTTTAAAAAAATCAATTCCTGCTGGGCAGGTGGTGCATGCCTGTAATCCCAGTGGCTCAGGAGGCTGAGGCAGGAGAATCGTGAGTTCAAAAGCCAGCCTCAGCAACTTAATGAGCTGGCCCTAAGCAACTCAGTGAGATTCCATCTCTGAGTAAAATACAGAAAAAGCAGGGGCGGGAGATGTGGCTCAGTGGTTAACCACCCCTGGGTTCAATCCCAGGTACAAAAAAGAATCTATTCCTTTCCCTGAGTAACATTTCAACCCAAGTTGAATCCATTCATTCATAATTTTGCCCCACCACAGCCATGGCAGGGCTGTCCCACATCTTCAGGTTCACTTTGTCTTTCATTTTTTTAAATATATATTTTATAACTGTATTTATTTATTTATTTTTATGTGGTGCTGAGGATTGAACCCAGTGCCTCACCCATGCTAGGCAAGTGCTCTACCACTGAGCTATAGCCCCAGCCCCTTGTCTTCTACTTTTAACCATATCATGGCTGAACTATGCAGAAGAGCAAGCTTAGTGCCCTTAACCTTTTTTTTTTTGAAGAATAATATATTTTTTAAATATGTGGGCAAATAATACAGTCAAAGTCAATCATCCTAACAAATGATGATGATGGATTTGTATAAAATGCTAGACACAGAATGTCATAGTAGTACCGTTAACCTTTGTTCTCATAAAAATGGAACAAAGAAGCCAGTGTACAGTGTACACTTATAGGCTTGTACAGTGGTACAAGCCTATAATCCCAGCAGCTCTGGAGGCTGAGGCAGGAGGATCATGAGTTCAAAGCCAGCCTCAGCAATGGCGAGGCGCTAAGCAACTCAGTGAGACCCTGTTTCTAAATAAATAAAATAGAAAATAGGGCTGGGGATGTGGCTCAGTGGTTAAGTGCCCCCGAGTTCAATTCCTAGTACCCTTCCCCCACCCCCCAAAATAAAATGGAACAAAGAGAAGCAAGATTTTTCCTGTATTTATTTGGATATATCCGAGGTTCCCTCTGTGGTTGGCAGAATTCTAGGATGAAACCTAAGAGTCCTGCCCTCTCGGGTATATAACCTACATAATCCCCTCCTCCCGAGTGTGGGAAGAACCTGTGACTTGTGTTACATTATATGGCAAAAAGGATTTGAAGGTCCCTACTCAGTAGACTTTGAGTTAATCAATCAAGAGTCAAAGTATCATCTTAGATGGATCTGACCTAATCAGGTGAGCCCTTAAAAGAGACAAGAAGCAGCAGAAGAAAACTGCCATGTTGTGGAGAGGGCCTTTTGGCATAAAACAATGAACAGTCTCCAGATGCTAAGGGCTTGAGTCCTATAACCTCAAAGAACTTAATTGTGCCAATAACCACTGAACTAAGGAGAAGACCCCAGGCTTCAGATGAGAACACAGCCCCAGCTGGTATCTTGAGTTCAGCCCAGTGGAGCTCTGAGAAGAAGACATAGTTAGCTCACACCCACACTCTGCGTGTGTGTGTTTGTGTGTGTGTGTGTGTGTGTGTGTGTGTGTGTGTGTGTGTGGTACTGGGGATTGAACTCAGAGGTGCTTTACCACTGAGCTATATCACCAGCCCTTTTTATTTTCATTTTGAGACAGGGTCTTGCTAACTTGCTGAGGATCTCACTGAGTTGCTGAGACTGTTCTTGAAATTCAGATCTTCCTACCTCAGCCTCCCAAATTTCTGGGATTACAGATGTGTGCCACCACACCCAAAACACCCCCAGACTCTCAACCCCTGGGTATTGCAAGATAATAAATGGATTATTATTATTATTATTTGGTACCCAGTGATGCTTAACCACTGAGCCATATCCTCAGCCCTTTATTTAGAGACAGGGTATCACTGAGTTGCTTAGGGACTCATTAAGTTGCTAAGGATGGCTTTGAACTCACGATCCTCCTGCCTCAGCCTCCCAAGCTGCTGGGATGACAGGCATGGGCCACCTCACTTGGCCTGGATTTGTCTTATACTGTTTTTAATAATTT